GTTCCATGATATATTTCTGTAGAGGTTACACTTTAATTCCAGGATGGTTTATTCCACATGATTCTTTTTTTCTTCCCCTCTAGACTGCTCCAGAGAACCCTGGGACAGTAGGTGGAGTGCAAAGCTGCATTGTGTTGCCTTCCTGCTTTTATTGTTGCCTTCCTGCCTTTTTTTTTTTTTTTTATTCTTGGCCCCGCCTTGGCTGCTCTTTTCTTTGCCATCAAAGCTAACTAACTAAACCCTGCATGTGTGGTTAGTATGAGGGGCTCATGGCCTTTCATTTCAGCCCTGCACATGTATGTGTCAGTTATGTTTCATGTCAAATGCTTAATATCAGGATTGTCTCTAAAGCAGTACTATGATAGGCAAGCTACTTTCCAAAAATTGTCCCTCCATTTTTATGCTACCTCTTTCTAATGCCCCATCCCCTACCCCACTCAGCTTGCAGTGTACCAGAATTACCTAGGATCCTTTTTATAAAGGAGAGAACTGGGTGGTGCCTGTGACTCAGTGGGTAGGGCGCCAGCCCCATATACTGAGGGTAGTGGGTTCAAACCCGGCCCTGGCCAAACGGCAACAAAAAAATAGCAAGGCATTATGGCCCAGCTACTCGGGAGGCTGAGGCAAGAGAATTGCCTAAGCTTAGGAGTTGGAGGTTGCTGTGAGCTGTGTGACACCACCGCATTCTACCAAGGGTGATAAAGTAAGACTCTGTCTCTATAAAAAAAAAAATTACATATATATATATGAGAAAACTGTCCAATAAACAGATCTAAGTAAGGTATTAACACTTAATGTCTAATGTAAACATTCCCCCCCCCCAAACTATTACATCCTGAAAAACACAGGGAGAGGGCAATGTTTAACGGAGATCACTCACTAATGGTAGAATTCCCTGCTTCAGCAAGGCAAAATCTCAACATATTGGGAAGACACCCACATTTTGTGGATGGGTGCCTCTAAAAGATTTTGAGCTAGTTCTGATAATTTCTTCAAATTTTGTCCTAAAATGATAGTGGCTTGGTTTGGTTCATTTTCCTTCTAAGTAATTTATCTGTTATGGATTTTGATGTTCGTTGTTCCTGTGATGTCAAGGAGTCTGACTGTTTGCATGAATGTTTATCATTGCTCTGATCCTTTCCAATTACCACAGGAAGAAAGGGGAAGGGACATTTTATAGATTATGCTGAAATAGTAAATTGGCTGTTCTTTTCCCTCTCTTCCTTATCTCCATGCAACAGAAGAAGCAAGCCAGCCCACTGCAGACCCAGGCATGGTCATGGACAGTGTGGAAGCAGGAGACACAACACCTCCCACCAAAAGGAAGAGCAAGTTCTCTGGCTTTGGCAAGATCTTCAAGCCTTGGAAATGGAGGAAAAAAAAAAGTAGTGATAAATTCAAAGAGACTTCAGAAGGTGAGCTACTAAGACTTAAATATGTGTTCTAATCTAAGTTCTTTATTTTAGAGGTCTCTAACTTTTTTATTCTCTTCCCAAGCTTCCACACACCCTATTTGAAGAGGCAGTTTAATATTTTAGAATTAAACAACCAAGTGGTCATTCATTAACCCTTGTATTCTATAGTGCCAATCCTGGGTTTGTATTTTGATGGGTTTGTTTGTTTTGTTTTTTTGAGACAGAGTCTTACTTTGTTGCCCTCAGTAGAGTGCTGTGGTTTCATAGCTCACAGCAACCTCAAACTTCTGGACTCAAGTGATCCTTTTGCCTCAGCCTCCCAAGTAGCTGGAACTACAGGTGCCTGGCATAACACCCGGCTATATTTAGAGACTGGGGTCTTGCTCTTGCTCAGGCTGGTCTCAAACTCCTGAGTTGAGGCGATCTACCTGCCTTGGCCTCCCAGAGTGCTAGGATTACAGGCGTGAACTACCAGGCCTGCCTGGGTATTTTGATACGTTTAAATAATCTGTTGAGTGGCAAGTGGAATCCTTGAACTGTAGCAAATAAACCTAGGATGCGTCTTTTTTCTACTCTGCTGACTGATCAACACAGTGTTCATCCATAAATACTTCATTATTGACATTTTAATTAAGCTACAATTATGTAAGGCTAGCTTTTATGAATGTTTTAGAATGTTCTTTCCCAATAGTACAAGTTATGAAAGAAATTTACATATTTTTAAATTTGAAGTTAGATTTCGTGTTTATTTTTTAATTCCCATGAATAGAAATTTAAACCACTTTGTTCTTTTACTGTGGATTTAAAATGCTAAGCGTTATGTTAACTTTCAACTGACAACTTTCTGAGTACTGTTTCCCAATTTAATGTTAGTTTTAGAGCGAAAAATATCTATGCGAAAACCCAGAGAAGAGCTGGTTAAGAGAGGGGTCCTGCTGGAAGAGCCTGAGCAGGGTGAGTCTGCAGACAGCCCGCATGCCACTGTCTCTGTGTGCCTGGTGCTTGATGGAGTCTGACGCTGGATTTGAATGCTCTTTTTCCATTATTGCTGTTGTTGAGGTGTGGGTGGGGGCTTTAAAAACAACGTTTCCAGCAGGGTCTGGATGTCTCACGCCTGTAATCCCAGCACTCTGGGAGGCCGATGGGGGTGGATTGCTTGAGCTCAGGAGTTCCAGACTAGCCTGAGCCAGAGTGAGAGCCTGTCTCTAACAATAGCTGGTTGTTGGGCGGCACCTGTGGCTCGGTGAGTAGGGCTCCGGCCCCATATACTGAGGGTGGCGAGTTCGAACCCAGCTCCGGCCAAACTGCAACAAAAAAATAGCCCGGCATTGTAGCTGGCGCCTGTAGTCCCAGCTACTCAGGAGGCTGAGGCAAGAGAATTGCCTAAGCCCAAGAGCTGGAGGTTGCTATGAGCTGTGTGACGCCTGGGCCCTCTACCCAGGGCAACAAAATGAGACTCTGTCTCTAAAAAAAAACAATAGCTAGGTGTTGTGGTGGATGCCTATAGTCCCAGCTACTCAGGAGGCTAAGGGAAGAGAATTGCTTGAGCCCAAGAGTTTGAGGTTGCTGTGAGCAATGAGGACACCACGGCACTCTACCAAGAAGGACAGAGTGAGACTATGTCTGAAAAAAATTAAAATAAAATTTCCACTTTTTTCCAAGTGTCTGCCTACGGTGTTGAACTGTGAAATTGGGTGGTTGGTGAAGGATCCTTGGGTCAAATAATACTTGTGTCTCTTTCCATTCTCAACTTTGTGCCAACTATAGTACTGTGCATAATTACCTTTTTTTGATCAACTTTGTTCCATTCCTATATCACAGTGCCCTATTCTTTTGATTATTTGTTGCAAAGATCATGTTATATTATTTTAATACTCATTGCTAGTTTAATAATATCAGGACTTCACGCAGCGTATGACTTTTTTTTTTTTTTTTTTTTTTTTTT